TGAAGACAGTGGAGATGAGAATCAACAAATAGAAATCCCTCATATAGATGGACTCAAAGCTATCGAAAGTGCTCTTAAATATATAGAACAACAAGAAGAGGCGACGCCCGCCTGCCTGTTATCCTTAAAAAAATGATGAAGCATTGGCTGCAGAAAAACGCCAAAGTAATGTGAAACAAAAAACGATTTAGGACATTTTTAAGTAAGAACTCTTTAATTCTCGTAAAATATGCTCTTTAAGTGTTTTTAAGTAAGCTTTTTAATTAAGATATAAATTGTATGTGGTGTACTCGTATAAATTTTGCATTTCCTAAATATATTACATTTATACCTACCCTTTTTCTTTCCTTTTTTTATACTCTTCGCTTCAACTGAGTTTTTCGGTTAATCGAGTGAGTCGTGGCCCACATGAACTCGGATCATCGGAACTCTACAATTGTAAGGAAGACTCGTCAGTTCATTTCCGAGTTAGTCGTCGTAAATAATCGGGACTCTACAATTGTAAATGAGACTCGTCTGTTCGTGTACGTCGTGAATCCAGTCATTCACGGTAAAAGGAGTGAATGGGTATAGGGGAGAAATAAAGCATTATATTGTCTAACAAACAATGGTACACGAGTGGGCCTTTGGGACTGCAAACCCATATCAATTTTGGTCAGTTGAATACTTTACACATTGGTCCCTTTTGATGAGTCATCTTTGAAAACGATTGTCATCTGAGGAATGTTTGTATGCCTCTTACGCTCAGCAGTTGTCATTCTGTAATTTCGCGATCTTTTTCCGTCCGCCTCGACGGCGAATATTTTATTACTCCCGACATCAAGATATACTCGTGAAATGGTCTAACACAAAAATCCATATTCATTTCTACCATAAAGACACTGTTTCCCATTTTCGGTACACCGATTAAAACGCCGTGCTCAAATACGCTTAAATCTTAATAAACTGCCATAATAACAGCATGACAGACACTATTTATCTTGCATACGCATTGCCACCCGCTTTGCATTATTCTAATTGCTTGCAAACCCCTGTTTTTCACAAACGCATGCTTATACCAGTTTCTTAGGCTCTTCAGTGTAATACTAATGTAGTAAGTAGTATAAAACAGTAAAGTTATAATAGAGTTTTTATTTAAAAAATATAAAACAATTTATGCTTCTTGTTGGCCGCTATTTACAATTGTTGTTGGCAGTTTTTCCCCCATTTTTTTAATTATTTTCCATTATTTACTTATAATAAAATCGCTTAATTCATTGATAATAAACGTATAATAAGGAACTGGTGAGTGCATCGGTACAACACTGCAACACAATTATAAACAATAAAATGATAAAAATCATATTGTCGTAAAACTTGCATGTTTTGTTCAAATTCTTTTTCTTTTCCTGCTTTAGAAATAAGAAAATCTACGATTATTCAAGGAATTCGGAATTTTTTTTCTATGTGACAGCTAGAAATTAAGAAATTGGACAGCAAGAAGCATCAAAAGGTGACAGAAATTGAACATTGAAAACAACAAGGTTAAAAAAATCGGAATATAAACTGTCTAACAATTTAAAGGCCTTTATTAAAAACCTTAGTACTAACCTGACAAAAAATAAAATAAAGACAAGTTATTAACTTTCCATGTAAGCTTTACACATTTGAGGAAAATGAGCTAAGTATAAGTATTCAGTCGTTCTAAAATTTTGCGTCACCTTTCTAAATTGTGCAGTTTAATATTTTATGTCATTTAAATTTTATTAAATTTATATTTACGAAGCATTTACCTTTATTTTTATCAGTGAGTTTTTGGTGGAATATGAAGTAAGTTTACCATAAGAGTTATATTATATCAGTTAAAATGATAAAAACGAAGTTAAAATTATATCAAATTTGAACTTCGAAATGTATGATATATAACATCACTGAACATCGTGAGGTATAGTCATCATGCAGTAGTTTTTGTATAGGAAGTAGTCTTTACATTTACAAACATTGATCAATAAATGCAAAGACTGTTAAATAAAAGTAAAGATTGAAGCCTATATAAAAGCGACTGCCGTTTAAAATATACTACTTGCAACAAAGTTTGGTAAACCAAATACTTTGTTGATCTACTTCTTGACGATAATATAGATATTAGCTTTTTAAATCACAAACTTTTAATTGATTAATATTTTACATTATATTTTTAAGCAATGAATTTTAAATTCTGTATCAAAAACTGAACTAAACTTTATCTGCACTTTTAAATGTATCAGAAACAGAGGTCAACTTTTTTCAGATGTAACTGCAATATTCATTTCCAAACTAGGGTATGTTTATTATGTGAGTAAGAAAAACAAAAAGATCTTATGTGTATACATTAGGTAGACTATTAGGTACAACTAGGGTATGTTTATTATGTGAATAAGAAAAACGAAAAGATCTTATGTGCATACAATTAGGTAGACTATTAGGTACAACTAGGGTATGTTTATTACGTGAGTAAGAAAAGCAAAAAGATCTTATGTGTATACAATTAGGTAGACTATTAGGTACAACTAGGGTATGTTTATTATGTGAATAAGAAAAACAAAAAGATCTTATGTGTATACAATTAGGTAGACTATTAGGTACAACTAGGGTATGTTTATTACGTGAGTAAGAAAAGCAAAAAGATCTTGCGTGTATACAATTAAAATTCAAGGAAATTTGTAATTCAACGTTAACGAGAGCGCTGAAACGTATGCAACGTTGAAGCGCTCTCGTTACTATAAGGGTCGAATTGGTTAGAGTGCGAATTCTAACTGAAACTCTGTCGAAAAAATTGAAGTACAAGTTTTATAGTTTCCTGACAAATTCAAACTGAACTTAATAGACCGTTTCCCGTCTAGCTACAGAGCTCAAATTTCAATGAAGCGATGTTCCGGATGAAAATTTACTTAATTTACTATTGAAAAAAAAAACAATGTAAGTGCTTCACGGTAGATCTCGGGAATAGTGATGTGACAACTATTTTCCTTCTATGAATGAATGCTATAAACTGTAAAATAAAATTTAAAAAAACAAATGAAGCAAAATTTAATCTTGCAGTTTTTATGTAGTCTTGCAGCAAATGAAACAAAATTTAGTCTCAGTAGCTTATCACACAAAAATGCCAAATATATGAAAATCTCAATTTTGAATTTTTTGTCGCGTGCGTGGATTTATCTAAATATATTGATTTTCGGACTATTAATAGCAGAAATTACCGTTTGAAAAGCAGAATTTAAAGACAGTCGATTTCTTGATCAATTTTTGACATGAACAGATTAACAGATAGAAAACAAAATTTAAAAACTAATCTTAATAGTAAAAAGGGTTTTAAGAACCAAGCTTTTCAGTGGACTAGAAAAAAATAATTCTATTTTTATCACAAAATGAAAAAAAAAAATTTAGTGTAGTAATATCGAAAGTAACTTAATCGTCACTGATTTTACCACACTCTATAGAAAATAGATAAATGCATTTTTTACTTTAACAAGGAGGCTCAGCTCCCCAACTCACGTGGTTCCTTTTCATTCATTATTGCGCCTTTTTTCTAAAAACGATGTTTTTTTTAAAAAAAAAATTTTTTTTTGTTTATAAAATATATTTTTATTGTGATTTTTTGTTGAACATTTGGTTCATTCGTAACAAAATGAAGGATTTACGGGATTTGTAAATAATTGACTGTGTACAAAAAATTTAAACTTAGGAGCGCACACGCAATAGGAAATAAGTAATTTTAATTACAGCAATAATAATTTTACTTGTTAATAATATTGCGTAAATCGTACATCTCTCAAATCGTACAACTTTTGATTCTTAAAGAAGCATGGTATAAAAAACGCTCCAGTGGTTAAATCGGGAAGCTTTTTTTCAGGTGGGGATTCAAGTGGAAGAAACAAGTCGCTGTGAATTTGCGTTAAGTTTTTATTTAAGTTTCTCGGTTTTACATGTTCTCAATGTAATTTTTGGACATCCCATGTAAAGATAAAGCCAAAGTACGGGATAAATTATTTAATATATCACATAATTGAGCAACTTATTCTGTAATGTTCTACTTGTTTCTTTATCAGCTAACTACTGTTTAAGGCTTGAAATAACATTTTATTTCAAACGCTTCGTAATTGACTAAATCGTACCGGTGCAGTTCTAAATCATGCCTGTACGATTTCAGATTACACACATGGCAATTATCAAACCTTTCCAACTGTACTACACACAAACTCTCGAAAAAGAGAGGGATAGAAAAAGAGAAGAAGAAAAAAAGTACTTTTTACATTTTCGAGTATTTAATTGAAATTTCAAAAAACAAAAAAACTCAAATTAAATTCTAATACAAAAGGGATCTTTCCTCGGCGTTAAATTTAAACTTTGTAGTTGTGGCCTGTATGCCTTATTGGCTCTTGGCATTTCCGGCAAAAATAAATACCTAGTGCACTTTAGCATCCAAATAGAGTCTCGGTGCTGCCATCTAGTGTGGCAGAAACTAGACGTCCAAATTAACACGGCCAACGGTATCTCACCCATTGTGGTGGTTCTGAACGAGTAGATACCACTTCTGGAGAACGCACTACATCTGCTCATCGGGAAGACTGATTGTGCAGCTCATTGGAAATAAAAAGGAATTAAAAAAAGTTGTGACCTGTAGAGCTATCTGCATGGTATTCTTATTACAAGTTTAACAGTTAATAATTCTCGAACTAATTATTAAACATAATTTTTTTTTACTTCATCGTATTTCCTGTATATTTTTCTATATACCTTTGTGATATGTTTTTTTATACTTCGTTTTATAGTTTTCACGCTGCGAACAAAATATACCGTAAAGTTGAACACCATAAATAGTCCCAGTAAATCTTAATAATTCTGACCTATAAATTACACTTTTCAAACGAAACTTGGAAAACAAAAAAGGAAATACCGGAGTTTTTGGATGGGTATTAAAGGAGAATCTCTGGAATCGAACAGTATTAAGTGCGCAGTATAAATGATCGGAAATTACAAAGTTTCCTTCGAAACAAAGTTATCATCAACCTTGATAAGAGATTGATTTGATTTTTATCTTTGTATTTTTAGCCTCGGAAGAGGATTTTATACATTTACAAGGAAATGCTGTTTTTGCAACAGAATCCTGTCAAAGAATATTTTGTCGGAATTACGGGATATGCGAAATAACTGCAGTTCCTCTCTGATTGACCATCTTCAGTAAAAATTTGAATTACGATATTGAAGTCTGACGAAAATTTCTAACAATTGCAAAATATTTGCAAAATAAGATAAACTTTTATTTTATTTCGATTAATCTTGTTTTGATCAAAACTTCTTTTTTCTGATCGCCAGCTTAAGTAAGTATTTTATGTTGATAATATGTCTTGTATCTTTGTTTATAGGGTAAATAACTATACTGATGGAATTCAAGTAGTTGGTGCATGCATGCCAATTACTTAAATGGAAATATTTAAATATCTATTTCAAAAAAATTATAATCTATAGACTGTAAGCCATAAATGTATTTTAAACATTAGAAAATAATACAATATCATTCATTTTTAATACCAAAATGAATGCACTTCTTGTGTTTCAATTTTTTAAAAAGAGTTAACTAAAAATATCTTTAAAATATGCATAATCTAAGGAATTTAACTTTCAAATATTGTATATAATCTATGATATATAATTTCAAATATTGTAATAAAAATGTATAAATCACATTTGGTTACATAATATAAAATTATTCATCAACAATTCCTAAATAAATTATTTTCTTGCATTTCAATTTTAAAAAAAGAGCAATATCTGTTTCAGTTCTGTAACTGAAAATGTTTAAAAAAATAAATTAAAAAATATGTATTTTAAGAAATTATAGGTTTGAATTATATTTACGTTTTAAAGTCTGAATTATATTTAAGTTTTAAAGTCTGAATTATATTTAAGTTTTAAAGCCCGATATATATTTAAAAAAAATCAGAAAATGATTTACGCTTACATTTTTTGAATAATTTTAAATTCATTACTAGGTAATGAATACAAGGTGAATAAGCTAAAGTTTTGCTTTTTTAATTCCACTTCATTTTACTTCTTTGGTTTTATTACTTCTTTGCTTTTTGTGCATTTCATGTTAATTACATAGAATTGTGTTTCTATAAGATTCATTACGCTTGTAATTCTAAATATTTTATTGGATGCATTTTTTGATATTTGTCGCTTTTTGACTGTTATTTTAGGGCAACTTACAGTAAAAAAAACCATATTAGTTCGTACCGTCTTTGTCCTTTTTCTCATGAAATACACGCAAACAATGAAAGTAAATTAACATTAAGCTTATGGCGTAACTACCACTACAAATATTAAATACCAAATCACTGGTATATAAGACATGTTAACTTGAATCCATTTAGGGATATCTTTTGATAGATGATGGTTGACATATGATTAAATCCTCATATTAGTGACTTGCGAATGTGATATGAACACGCCAACATGATGGATGATCCACTTTAAACAGTTTGATTTGTTTAATATATCTCTCAAATAGAAAAAAATCTGGCGAAGTAGATAAAGTCTCCCGGTCAATAAGCAAAAATTAAGAAGGAGAATAAAATGAGCGGATTGCTATAAACAAAAAATGAAAGGAAAAAAAAATTGTGCGAAATGTTACAAAAAGAAAAAAAAAATGAAGAAAATATAATGAGCAAAAATTGATATAAATAAATAAACAGCATGAATCAACTAGTGATATTCGTTCATCGAATTCTATCACATGTAAAATTCTAGAAGGGAAGTAATGTGGCGTAACTACCACTACAAATATTAAATAACAAATCACTAGTATATAAGACATGTTAACTTGAATCCATCTTGAGGTACCTTTTGATAGATGATGATTGACATAGTCGATAAAATTCTCCCCTCAATCTCAACAAAATGATCGTCAGTTTCGGCTTTCGAGACTTTGAGGCGCATTGTTTACCGAATTATGTAATAAGGCAGAATAGTGCTGCCCTCTGATTAGCTGTTAAGGAATCAGAGTTTGTATTCGTTGCCCCTGATCATCATTGTAAAAATAGTGCGAAAGAGACAATCTTTATCGTTGGATGGGAACGAACCCTGAACTTTTGAGTCCTTAGAAAGCCGAAGACTACATTTGAAAGTGTGTACTACACCCTCGATAGAGTGAGGAAAATTGCTAAATTTTTGTAGTGGAATATGAAATTTTATGTAGTGGATGATGCATTATGAAAATATTTGAAACAAAAGTAATATAAGAACAGTAATTTATTTGGATCAAGCAAAATGATATGTCCAGTGTTAGTTATGGAACAGCTTCCCGTTAGTACAAATTCAAATTGAAAAACAAACAAACAATATTTTGATCACTTAGTCTAATATTTTCCCCTTATTTTGTGTAAAAATTGTTTTTGTTAAAGCAATGGTAAAAACAATCAATAAAAATATTTTTATTTTCAAAAATTACTAGTTTATCTTATGCATTTTGTTATTAATAATTCAAGACGTGGACAACCAACGTACTTAATACTTATTAAAGTAACCTTTACTTTGTCAACTATTTATAAGTTTTGCTCCTATCCTTTTCTTATTTCAATCCATAAAAAAATTAAATGTGTGAAATTTTAGTTCAATCGAAAAAACTTACGGCAATCTCCATCGACTCGGAAGTTCCGGTAATTTCGACAACAGAATTATTTAAAAATTTTTTTTATTGGTTATATAACTAATTTTTTGATCAACTCGCGCATCTTCATCCCTGAAACGAATTGTATTCTGATGAAATTGTTCCTTTTTGCGTTTCTGTATCCCACATTAACGTGTGTTTCGCGACTTCATCCCCATAACGAATTGTATTCCGCTGAAATTGTTCCTTTTTGCCATTTTGTAAGCCTTTGTCCATAGGCGACAACTATAGTAGCATAAGTTGCGATTTCAGAAGTTCAAAATTTGTCACCGTGAAAGTGTTTTGCATGTATGTGAAAGCTCTGTTAACGATGGGTATTACATATTTATATGCCGGAATAGTCTAGTCGGTAGGGCATTAGGCCCATGTCGAAGAGACAGTGAATTCCATGCCGATTGAAGACCCCTCATATTGCAAATGGTGACTGGTGCACGTTAAATCTGTTATGTCACAAGGTTCTTTAAATTCCCATAACAAGTCATACCTCTGGGGGCATTGAATTGAAGATTGATCGTTTTCAGGTTCAGGTCAAAATAACGATCTGTGGATGAATGAAGAGCTTCGCTCTTTAAAGTGATCTGTGATGTGTGACTGAAGTCGTATTATTGGCCATAGATGACGCCTCTGAAAAAGCAAGAAACGTACCCTCTACCTTAAATTCGCATGGTTTTACCAAGCAGGCTTGCTGGTATTGGCAACTGGCATTAGAACCAACAGCATATTTATAGATGCTGCAGAAAACTTTATTTCTAAAAGCATCTTTAAAGCCTGGTTTTTAAGATTTTTAGTTTCCTGTAATCAACCCTTAAAATTATTGAGGCGTTTAAAATAAATTTTTAAAAAAATATTACATGTTTTTGATTTACAATGCAGCAATTTCTGTGATGGAAATGCATTTTAATTTAGATTGATCTTTTATGTAGAATCAAAACATCCTACTATGAATGAACAAATATTGAAAACAATTTGTTTTCGGCAACAATTTGTAAGACAAATATATTCTCAGTTTCATATTTTGCTTTCATATATTATTGCATTTTATTTTACATAGTAAATGCATTTAAAAAAAAAGTAAAAGGTACTAATATTTGAAGAAAAAAAAAGCTGCCCGATATTTTTTCATAAAACGCATATCTCTTCTGTATTAATTATCAAACATTAATTAATAATTATTTCAAACATATAGAACAGTTTGTTTTGGTTTTGTGTATGTGAATTATTTTCGTTTAACCTTTCCCTTCTGCCCGCTTATAGCTCAGTTTGATAAAATCCTAGAATAGCCCAACTCTTGGCGAATTTTTAAGATCTCGCCAAGCTGGCGATTATTACTGGGATCAACGTTGCTTTCTGATTATTAAAAAAAGTAATTTAAATTATTATAAATTTCCATTTTTAACCGGTACCGCACAAAAACAAATTGAAAAACGAAATAATGATGGTAATAAATAAAATAACAGTAAAAAAAAATGAAATAATAACGATGATTCCAACAGCAAGAGATCAGAAGCATAAATGGAGAAAAAATAAACCCTACCACAATGCGCGTAGGTATACATATCAAATAACCAATCAGGTTTAAGAATTTTGGTGGTGTGATTGTGATGCGATCAAACGTTCAAAATAATCTCCCCGAAATAAGTTCCAGAAATTTAGTTTGCGACAATTCAAAAATTTGCTTCGCGAGATTTTAAAAAAAATCATTGCAGGGTGTGCTATTCTAGGATCCACAACTCAGTTTATTTCAGGTTTTTGTTACCCTCACGAAAAAAGAATTTTCATTCCGAAATTTGCAAACATGTATGCTTAAACGTTCATACGCATGACTACTCACTGACTTAAAAGTTTTCTGTTTTTTGTTGCAACGTGGAAAAAAAAAACTTTAATTTTTTTGCAATACATATACGTACAATTTAAAATGGAGAATGTAATTCTTTTGACAGAGGCGAAAAGTTTAAATAAATTTTTGTTTATGAAATTTGGTATATAAAAATCCGATATTTTTAAACTTTCTGAAATACTTCCATGTATTTGGCTCTTTGTATAAAGTGATGTTTAATAATAAAATAAAATAAAAATTGCGCATTTGAACTAATTATATGTCCTGAGAAAAATTATCAATAATTATTATCTTTTTCTTAAACAAAATTTTTTAAACATAAACAAATTTAGTGCTTTGAAAGTAACTAAACAAATAGTGAGTAAAAAAGTGTATAGCTTAGATAATCTGTTTGATGCACAATGCGTAAAAAATAAACTGACCGTCCTGATTATTTTTTGATCTAATGATCAGATCTTCATGTTCTAGAATTTAATCTTAATCGATCGAGCGGGTGACCCCAAACAGGATAATTAATTAGTGCAGACGATTTTTGAAGTTACGAGATCAGACACAGAAACGTACTTACTCTGAATAAATATAATACTTTTGGATTTCTGATCCCAAATATAGGGGTAGAAACGATTTGGATAATATGGTTCCAGAGTTTAGTCAGAAGAGTTGACCCTTAAAGTTAATTTTACCTTTTACCAAATTTCGCATTTTGTCCTGTAAATTTACTTTCTTTAAAATCATTTGAAAAATGGTGTACTAAACAATTCAAAATTCATTCCACAAGTATTAAATAAAGTGGTAAAAAATAACAATTATTTATT